GCTAGAATTTGAAAAATAACTCTTCTATCTTTGCTTCCAGGGCTGAGAGCTTCTCCCTAGCCCTAGTACAAAATCTATTCAGCACTTTAGCTATGACATGTGTATTTTCATGTATCAGAACCTGCTGTAAACTTTGATCCAGAATGTAAGTACTACCATGCTGAAAATAACTTGAAGGTGTCTGGAGAGAATAATTGGAGAGAAAGATTGATTGTTCTTGCTTCCTAATGTGAGATACAATACATCCTTGTATATGGGATGTTTTGCCCTTGACCTTTACCTAATGCAACTAGAATGTTTAGAACTTCCCTAATCCGAGCTGCCTGCTACCAAATCTGCTAGCTGATTCTTTCTCTGACTAGGACTCCTAGTCATCCCCTATTCTCTGGTACCAGCTTTTCTCTCCTTTGCGGACATAATGCCGGCATTGCCACTGCCTATACTGATCGCTTTTCCTAACCAGAGTCCACAATAGAACCACTGCTGACTAGATCGCCATATTTGAGTACTAAAACTTTAGGTCAGCAAGGTCGTAATAAAATTGACATGTTCCATGGTGTACTATTTTCCTCTGTTTGCCTCTAGTATTCTGTCTGTATGTCCGTAGTTAAGTGACAATTCATTACTGTAAGTTGTCTTTTGGTATTCTCTTTTGTGGGCTAGCTTTATGTCACAGATATTTGTTCATTTAAATCCTGAAGGTGCACAGTTCAGCCTCAATTGTTTTTGACTTGCATGCAGATATTGATGTAGAGAGCTGTGAAGCAGAGAAGTCTATTCTCAAGAGGAGACTTTCTGAATCAGCATCAGAAGTTGAGAGATGGGTGAGGATCTCACTTGAGAAATATAAAAATGTATTCTTCTTACACATGTTCATAGTGGTCAACTAACGTTATTTCTATTTTTGTAGAGACGAAAATGCTTCGCATGATCCAGCGATTGAGTGTCTTTATTTTCCTTTCGGTCTCACCGAGAAGACATGCGTTTCAAAAGGACATCCATATTACCTCTTCCAGGATTTAGAGTGCATGTGCATTCCAAGGAGAAGGGTCAGACTTGTACTATGTTCCGTTTCGAAAAAAAAAGACTTGTACTATGTCCAAATGCGTTGTACTATAATTTTTTCATGAGTTTGATGTTACTGTGAACGCTTTGATAACTTTTCTTCATTTAAGTGTTTTGCATAGGTCTGCACGTTTGGCATTGTTTCTCTATGGTGACCAAAATTTTGTCTTGTACCTATGTGGCTGCTTAGCACATGCACAACGTGAAGCATTGGGAAGGACCTAATGCAATCCAATCGACCGATAATATAATGGAAAAAAAATCAGTATTACACATATATGCTTTCCCTGCTCGTGCATTCACCGTGTTACAGAGGCGGTGCGCTGTTTGCTCTGCGCTATTGCTGCAGGACAATGACACTGTGCACTAGAGAGATGACAGTGATTGCCACGAGGTGGACGGTGTGTTAGAGCATCTCCAGTCTCCTCAGGCGATTTATTTGCGCCGGTGCCGAAAAAACGGCCTAATCGTGCCTCAGGACGCCTGAATTCCGTCGGCTTGGGCCGTTTTCTTGCCCGGCGCTCGTAGGCCGAACCCGGCGCATTAGGGGGCGCTCGGGGCTCCAGCCCAAGGGAAAAGCGTTCCTGAGCCACATTGACAGGCGAAGAGTCAAGCCACCCGCCTAGATTCGCCTCCTGCCCCCAGTGCTCGGCCGCCACCCTGTCGACCCCGGCGTCGACCACCGCCCGCCGCAGCTAGGTAGGCCGTCTTCAGCCAGGAAAAAGAAGGGGTTTCGCCGAGGCAGCCTCTTCGCCGCCGCCCCGGGCACCTTTTTCGGCGCTCCGGCCGCGCTGGGCTTGTATGCCGGCGGGCTTGCGCCCACATCTCCCAGTTTGGTGAATTGCCCGACCCGTCGATGGACTCCGAAGATGAGGCGCTCGCGGCGTTGCTGGATGAGGAAGCCGAAGTCGACGTCCAGGAGCAGGAGCATCTCATGGTGCTCGTCGCCCTCGCCGGCCTGCTCGCGAGCAGTGAGAAGCCGCGGCGTGGTGGCTCGGCGCTTGGGCGGGTGAAAGCAAAGAGCCGACATCGTCTGAAAGGCTACTGCATACTCTACTCGGACTACTTCGCCGACGCTCCATTGCACGGTGAGAAAACATTTCGGCGCCGTTATCGGATGAGCCGATAGCTTTTCCTCCAGATTGTGAATTCCATTCGGGAGTTCGACAGCTACTTCAAGTGCAAGAAGGATTGCACCGACACACTTGGATTCACCTCGATCCAGAAGTGCACGACAGCTATGAGGATGCTTGCATACGGAGCTCCCGGTGATTCACTCGACGACTATGGGCGCATGACCGAGTCCACCACCATTAAGTGTTTCTACAAGTTCTGCAGGGCAGTGGTGACAGTGTTTGGACTGCAGTACTTGCGAACACCCAATGTGGAAGACACTGCTCGGATCCTAGCATAGAATGAAGCAAGAGGATTTCCTGGGATGCTTGGAAGCATCGACTGCATGCATTGGAAATGGAAGAACTGTCCATTTGCTTGGCAGGGGTTGTACAAAGGCGCCAAAGGCGGTTGCAGTGTGGTGCTTGAGGCAGTGGCCACACAGGACCTCTGGATTTGGCACTCTTTCTTTGGGATGCCAGAAACTCATAATGACATTGACGTCCTACAGTGCTCCCCAGTCTTTGCCAAGCTTGTTGAAGGTCATTCTCGTACGGTGAACTTCGAGGTCAATGGACGACAGTACAATAAGGGGTACTATCTAGCTGATGGCATCTATCCGAGATGGTCGACATTTGTGAAGACCATCTCAAACCTTATGCCAGGAGGCAAGAACGTGTGGTTTGCGAAGATTCAGGAGGCTTGCAGGAAGGATGTCGAGCGGGCATTTGGTGTGCTCCAATCTCGATTTGCTGTTGTACGGTACCCCGCTCAGACCTGGCCGAAAGATCAAATGTGGGAGATCATGACTTGTTGTGTCATCTTGCACAACATGATCATTGAGAGCGAGCAGGGAAGAGCCAGTGTTTGACACTGAACCATACCACAGGCAGGGTCCTCTTGCCCAAGTTGATCAGCAGCTACCGGCAAACTGGACTGACTACCTCAATATGCGTCAGGAAATCCGAGACCCATAGGTGCATCAACAACTGCAACACGATCTGGTGGAGCACCTATGGAGGCTCAAGGGCGAGGCCGGGAATGACATGTGATGAAACATGAGTTTTTATTTGTTAAACGATATAATTTGTAGTGAACTATTTGATTTATGTGATGAAACACGCCGAAACACGTCGAACCATGTGACGAGCTAATTGATTCCTATTTGTATGCGAAAATTCACGCCGAAACCCGCCGAACCGCGCTGAATATGGGCAGATTCACGTAGTTATCGGGCCATTTTTGGACATATTTGGGCCGGAAGCTGGGCTGAATTCGGCGCCTGGGGGCGACCTGGGGGCGACGGCTGCGTGCCGAACCGCCCCTAGCGCGGAGTTTATCGCCGGCGCACCCCCAGGATGCTCTTTTTCGGCGCCCTGGGAGGCCAAACGGCTGGAGATGCTCTTACTGGACAGGATTGCATTTGTGCATAAGCTACCATCGCTTTGGTACGTAGTGATAAGGGCATCTCCAACAGCATCCTCAATCGCCCGCAAACAACTCTGGATCATGATGCCAGATCATTTTGGCCATTCAACACGGTGCCGTATGCGTTTGTGATTCGTTTCAAACGTATTTATAATTTTTTATTGTTAAATGCTATTATGTTATCATATATATATATATATATATATATATATATATATATATATATATATAGACGGTCTATTCTGCTAATATTAACAGAAGAACTATTCTGCACATCACTTCCGCACTGCATGCTGAACGCAAGTGCACGTCATTCTTTGAACCAAGTGTGCTGCTGTACTCACACGAGTGAACTTCTCGCCGGAAAAAACTGCACGCGTTATTTTTTCGCTACTGTTTTCGCTCTAATTTTTTAACCGTTTATCGGAATGAGGCGTGTAATATACCATTGAAAAGCTATGGATTAGGCGCAACTTCGACATGTTGAACACTTTTCGAGATTCCACACGGTTTAAGAGAAGTTTTGAAAATGGTGCGGCCCATGACGAGTGGCAGCGAGCGTTTTTTCATGATTTCTTCTAAACCACTCGTCGGAATGAAGCAAACGGTACGCCGTTGGATAGATATCGTCGGGGCGCATCTTTTCCATATATAAATTTTTCTCTAATTCCTTACGGTTTAAGAGCAGTTTCAAATTTATTAAATCGCGGAACTCAGTTTTTCAAATTTTTTCAAAATTTTGGTACTGTTTTTGCTCTAGTTTTTTAACCGTTTGTCGAAACGAGGCATGTAATATATCGTTGAAAGCTATGGACGAGGCGCAACTTTCATATGTTGCAATGTTTTTAAGATTTCTTACGGTTTTAAATTAATTTTGAAAATCGTGTGGCAGACGACGAGTGGCAGATGCTGTTTTTCGTGAAATTTTTACAAACCGCTGCTCGTAATGATTCAAACGATACGCCGTTGAAAAGGTATCGACGGGGCGCAACTTTTTCATGTAGAACACTCTCTCTAATTCTTTACGGTTTAAGAGCAGTTTTAAATTTACCGAAACACGGACACTCTGTTTTTCGCGACACCCAAATCGACGTGGATACTTCATCCGACTGAAAACCGCACTGCATCGGGCGAAATGCCGCACTGCATTAGATGGGCAAGAGAACTGCATGGTTTGCCTTTTTGTGGGACATAAATTTTTGAAGACGAGGAAAAAAACCGCACTGCTTTTAGACGGAAAAGCGCACTACATCAAAGAGTCAAGCGAACTTCATGATTTTCTTGTCGAGCGTAAATTTTCTCAGACGAGCTTTTGTGAGTTTTTGTCGTTATTTTTTTATAAAAGAACGCACTGCTTCGAATGGAAAACCACACTGCATCAGAAAGTCAAGCGAACTTCATGATTTCTTTTTGTTGGACGTAAATTTTCTCGAACGAGTTTTTGTTGTCTTTTTTCGACTTTTTTTTACCAACGCGAGTGGACCGCAGAGACGAGGGAAGTGAACTTCGACATATATCAAAGTGAACGACATTGCCTTTTTTTGTTTCGCAATTTTTTTCGCACTTCCATGTTGTGCGCAGGTGAACAGTGTAACTCACAAAAATGAACCACATCGGATGACCAAACACACTGCAAGGTGTTCCATTGATATAGTGAACCACAGAGGAGCTTTATAGTGGAACCAAGTGGGAAAACAAAGTGAGCTTCAAAACATATATATCTTTTCTTTATTTTTACAGACATACACACAAAATCAACACTGTCACCAGCCGAACAACAATTGAGGACTAGCCGTGCTACACTACATCACACCTCAGGGGCATACTACACCTACAAAGTCGCCAAAATGGCCAATGGCAACCTGGGAGGTCGGTGGAGACAAGGAGATACCATGTTCCTGAACTGCATATTCGAAATAAAATATGCTACTTGTGCCTGACGAGAGAGATGGCACTTTTTTCTATACAAATAAAAGACAAAAATGCCGCCCGCGCCACTGAACTGCATTCTGTGCCGAACCATGCTGCCGCAAACTAAATTTTGTGGAACTTCCCTCAACCAAAAAGAAAGCAAGCAATCAAGTCCCGGGAGTGGCTCGCGCGGCCAACCGTAGCGGCCACACACGGCCGTGAGCACCGCAGTGCATGTGCGGCGCTACCGCACTACATGCGCTGCCCTGCCGCACTGCATCCGCCCCCTGCCAATGCATCATCGTTAACCACCGGAGCGAACTGCAGGGAATGCAGAGGAGGAGGTGAACGGTGGAGGAGCTCCGACCAGGCAGCTAGCGTCGAATGTGTGTGTGTATATATATATGTATGTAT